CTTTCTTCTGGCCGTCATTCTCGGCTGCGCTTACCGATACTTTTGCCTACAGTTTGGGAAGCCCTCCCGGTCTTACTCCATGATTGAACTCTGATCCACACTACTCTGAGGCAACTTCTTCGTCATCAGAGATGTAGTGGTTCTTGCAATGCTTCTGCAGATTGAAGAACGTCACCACGGTGCCCTCTGGGACCTTGAGCAGATCCTTGAGCTTGTCATCGAGTCGGATGTTGCGGCGGTTGTCGGGGCACTGCAGGTCGTTCTTCTTGATGTACTCGGTCAGGAGCTTCGTAACCTGTGTGCGAGCAAGCCTTGTATTGGAAGGAACCCCAAGAAAGCTGCTAAGCTCGTTCGAGATGCGGCTCGGCTTTGCGAAACCACTGGGCTCCTTCTTGGGCTTCGCGGGTTGCACACTCTCTCCCCCCTGCCCCTGGGATGCTGCCTGGAGGGACTGCACAGCCTTTTGTGTTTTGTTGATCGATCTCTGCAGCTTGCTGAGGGCCTTCATGATATCATCCCCTGCCTCTGGCCCATGCCTAGATGCCGGTGGCTCCTTGGGTACCACGTCTTGTGTGTCAACGGGCCTCGGCTCGCTTGCCTCAACGGGCTCAGCCGCCTTCTGTCCCTTCTTTGATCCAGTTCTTGGTGCCATCGCTGTTCTTCTCTGGGATTTTGAAGAGGGCCAAAAAAACGCACGCCCCTAGGGCTTCAACAGGTGAAGCCCTGGTTGGTTGCTTCGACAAGATGCTGCGCAGGCAACGTCCTGGGTGGCCAGCTTGGGGTCACTTGCTTGGGGCTCCTGACTATCGAGCGGAGCAACGATCTGCTCTCCACAAAGTCGGCAGGTTCCTGAGGGGGGACTCGAGAGCACTCAGCATGCGGGATCTCGACAGGATTGTGATTCACGCCCGGGAGAAGGCCACGGACTTGCTCGACTCAAGAGATTCTTAGGGCGAAGTTTGATACGGTGTCCAGTACATGGGGCAGACACATGGTAAAGCTGAGACAGAGTCCGTTGACTTTCGCCGGAAGGTGTTGGAGCTACACGACTCAGCATGAGGTGGCAGCTTTTTGTGACTTACAGCTGGTACCTTCAACGGGCTCTTACGTTCCGTTAAAAATGCTGTACGGGCGATACATGGCAGGAGGCCACGACGTTGCACCAAGTTCTGAAGAATTCCTGTGGTGCCTGAAAAGGGCTGGTTGCGCTGACCAGCTGGGGACCAGAAACACATCCTCAGAGATACTCATCCTAGACGTGTCTTTGCGTGCGCATACAGACTTGCTCTTGATGTAGCATAATGTCAAAGGAACGTGCGCCCCTAGAGCCATGGAACGGCCAGATCGTGCTGCCTGTTTTCTTGACCAAAGGTAGACCATGGAGCAGAACACAGCTCATAAACTTGTTGTCAATCCTGAGCAGTCAGGGGGCATGATTGCAGTTGCCACGAGGACTCCGAAAGGTGACAACCTCCAGTTCACGGTCAGGACGGATGACAAGCGCCAGCCCTCACCTGCACCCTCTCCAAAGTCCCCGGGCTAGCAAGAGAAGAGGCCGTCCCCTCCGCCGAGGGACTCCTCACCCCACGAAATGTACAGCTCGGACGATTCCTCCCCTCGGGCCTGGCGCCATCGCAGCCCGTCCGTGACCATCGACGTCAGCGGCCTGGCGAATCCAGACAAGATGCGCCGCTCCTTCCGTGAGCACTCACCCTCTCCCAGCCCTACACCCCGCCGCCGGTCGCCCCCACCCCGGAGGCCGTCACCATCCAGGCGTTATTCTCGATCTCGCTCCCGCTCCAACTCGAGGCCGCCCCCTCCAAAGGCCCCTGAGCCCAAGCCAAGCCCCGGCTTTGGCTCGATCCGAGAGGAGAAGCTGTACATCCTGCTGACGTTGAAGCGGATGAAGGCAGAGGGCGTGGAGGAGGTCTCTGACTACACGATCGACTCTGACATTGAGGAGATGCGGATGGAGCTCCGCACCCTGCAGGAGGACCAGATGATGACCAACGGGATCGAGAGCTGCCGGACCGCTCTCATCACGGTCACAACGGGCCTGGAGATCATGAACAAAAAGTACAATCCGTTTGATCTCGACCTGGACGGCTGGAGCCAGAGCATCTTTGAGAGCATCGAACGTTACGATACGGTCCTCGAGAGGCTTGTGAAGAAGTATGGCAAGCGGGTGTCGGCAATCTCCCCAGAGATCCAGCTCATGCTCATGCTCTGCGGCTCTGCGGCCAGCTTCTGCTTCACAAAGAGCATGATGAAGGCCGCCCAGCCCACCATGACCAGGATTGCAGAGGAGAACCCCGAGCTCGTCCGTAAGATGATGCAGGGCATGGCCCCTCCAGCAGCCCAGCCTCAGGGGGTTCCAGCAGTGCCGGTAGTGCCCGTTGTCCCCGTCGCAACACCGGTCGTTCCAACCGCGTCCGTCCCTGTCCCGCAGAGCTCTCGGTATGCGGAACCTCTGGAGCGATTCGTGAGACCTGCCCCGCAGGCGCCAAACCCCTCGGGTGGCGATGATGCTAGCAGCGTCAGCCTATCTCTCGCGGGAGACGCCGAGGTCTCCGGACTGAACGACAGCTTCTCTGTCAGCTCGATAAGCAGCCCAAAGGGCCAGCCAGCCATTCGGAAGGTTGCTGTCGGAGGCAAGGGATCTGTCACCAAAAAACGTGGGAGAATTGAGGTGAATTTCGAGTAATCACACGTCCAAAGATTTTCTCTCAGAAGCAGCAACAGGGCCTTTTGGGTATGGCCTTACATACATACATATCGGCAATTGGGTCTCAGAAGGAAAACTTTGTACTACTAATCTGTTATATTCTCTTCTCCAAAAAGTGAGTTACAATATTGCATCTTTTGAGGGTATGGCCTTACATACATACATATCGCCAAAAGGAACCCAAAGGGAAAACTCTGTACTACTAATCTGTTATAATTCCTTCTCTGGAGAGGAAAGAAATTATAACAAAACATAGTATGAGAGTGTTGGTGGCCCGGGAGGCTTGCTGATATGTATGTATGCAAGGTCCCTTGGGAGAAGGCTGAGAATTTTGCCCACCTTTGCACTCGAACGCTTGAAGTGCTTTTCTGGGAATGAGGTTGGTGTCGCCCCAAGTCTGCCTTTTATATGGATACGCCGGTGGCGCCGTCGGGCATGGGTTGGCTGACCGTGGCAAGCTCGGTGACCAATATGTCAGGTATGCCTTTCACAACCCGCACCGATTTGCCAGCAGCAGCCAAGTGGCGGTCTGCATCGTATCATTGCTGTCTGCTACAATATCACACCCTGCATGATGTGACGATAACACGGAGGCGCGGGTAATTCAACCCCCCTCCTATATTGAGAAAAGCAGTGTCTCAAATCTTGAAATACTTTTGAAACTTGC